AACACCTGGCCTGTCCAGAGGTTCAGTCAATGAGCTCGTCAATAGCTTCAATGCTAAAATGTTAAATGTAATGGACACTATTGCTCCCATTAAGGTGAAGGTTATCTCTGGAAGGAAAAAGTCTCCCTGGAGAAACTCCACACTGGTGAAAAATGAAAAAAGAGATTGTAGGAAAGCTGAGCACAGATGGAGAAAAACAAACCTCCAGGTTCATCCATCCATCCATTCGCTTCTGCTTATCCTCCTCCAGGTTCATTCCAGTTATAATTGTGAAGTTTCTCTTTATAGATGTCAATCTATAAAGAGAAACTTCGCAATTATAATTTACAACTGAGGAGTGCAAGGAGGTCCTACTTCTCTGACATCATCACCAAAAACAGTCATAATGCTCGGGTCTTATTTTCTACAGTTGACAGGCTAACAAACCCTCCTGTGTCAGTGACAGCTGAACTTCATTTGACATGGCCTGCAATGACTTCGCCAAATTCTTCACAGACAAAATCCAAAAGATTAGACAAGCAATTGGTACATCAACAGCATATTCAGGATATGTACCGTGTCCACCGAAAAACTGTTTAAACACCATGAAACAGTTTCACCCTATTAACAGCAAAGACCTGGAGGACATCTTAGGTCAACTGAACTCCTCTTGCTGTTTAGATGTCCTGCCAACACGTTTTTTCAAAAAGGTCTCAAAGACTTTGGAGTCAGACCTGTTACAGATCGTCAACTTTTCTTTAATATCAGGTGTGTTTCCAGAACCACTAAAAACTGCTGTAATTAAACCTATACTGAAAAAGGACAATCTTGACAAGACACAAATGAACAACTACAGGCTGATCTCAAATCTCCCATTTTTAAGTAAGATCATTGAAAAAGCAGTTTCTCAGCAGCTCAGTTACTTCTTAAAACAGAATAACTGCTATGATGCCTTCGAGTCAGGTTTTAGACAGAACCACAGCACTGAAACCGCTCTGACCAAAGTGTTTAATGACATATGTCTGAATACAGACAGTGGAAAAATGTCAGTCCTAGTTTTACTGGATCTCAGTGCAGCATTTGATACAGTTGACCACAACATATTACTCAAACGACTGGAGAACTGGACAGGTCTTTCAGGAACTGTACTAAACTGGTTCAAAACATACTTAGAAAACAGGAAATACTTTGTATCAATAGGTAACTTCACATCTGAGCAGACAAGCATCACATGTGGAGTTCCCCAAGGTTCCATCTTGGGACCCCCTCTGTTTAACATTTACATGCTCCCACTGGCACAGATTATAAAGAACAACAAAATAAACTATCATAGCTATGCAGATGACACAAAAATATATATCACAATGTCACCAGGAGATCGAGGCCCTGTACAGGCTCTTGGTAAATGCATTGAGGAAATTAATGACTGGTTGTGCCACAATTTTCTCCAGCTAAACAAAAACAGAACTGAAGTAATAGTCTTTGGTGCCAAAGAAAAACGATTACAGATCACCAGAGAACTTCAATCTATACACCTAAAAACCACAAACCAGGCGAGAAATTTGGGTGTAGTGATGGATGCAGACCTAAACTTAGAAAAACACATTAAGACAATAACAAAATCAGCTTACTACCCCTTCAAGAATATTTCAAGGATAAAAGATCTGATGTCTCAACGGGACCTACCTGTCCGTCAGAGGATAGACTTTAAAGTTCTGATGCTGGTCTATAAAGCTCTGAATGGTTTAGGACCAAAATACAACAGTGACCTCCTGACCCAGTATGAACCTTCCAGATCCCTCAGGTCATCTGGATCCGTTTTTTTATCAGTTCCCAGAGTCAGAACCAGACACGGAGAAGCTGCATTCAGCTTTTATGCTCCATATATCTGGAACAAACTCCCAGAAAGCCTCAGATCAGCTGAAACACTCATTTTGTTTAAATCCAGGTTGAAGACTCACCTATTCTCAGCTGCGTTTGAATAAAGCACCAAATCCACACTTTTAAGCTTAAATTTCAAAACTTATATTTTAACTACTGATTTTATCTATTGTTCTGATTTTATCTACTGTTTTTTTTTAATCAATTTTAAATCATGCTTTTGTTGTTTTTGTTTTTTAATGTCTCTGTAAAGCACTTTGAATTACCTTGTTGTTGAATTGTGCTATATAAATAAACTTGCCTTGCCTTGCCTTGCCTAGAGGTGAATCTGAAGTTAAGTTGATGATGCTGAGATTTATTCACCAAATTGCACCTTCATACCAACTTTATAGTGTCTAATATAAAGACAGCAGTCTAGAGGATTGAAATCAGCCAGGACAACTCATGAAACATCTGTTAAATTAAGGTGTGTAAATCCACAAAGAGGAGTGAACCTCAGTAGGCCAGCTGATTACAGCCCGTACACTAAGAAAATTAACTGGAGCTCTCAATAGAAGTTATTGTGAACTGAGCCACTACAACTGATTCCTCCACCTACTGAATCCCAGTTTAACCTCTTCCCTACTCATTTTCCTGTTTACAGGTAAAGGCACCCTCTACGTGGTAGCCAAAAGAAAATAGAGCTATTTTTTTCTTCTTTGCTAATGTCTTACTTTACTGATTCAAGCTGAGTGCATTCTTTAGAATTAAAATACAGACTAACATAAAGTTTGTATTCCCATAAAATAATATTATTTCATCATTACATTAATGTAGAGCAAGGTTCTGTTGGCATGCCATAAAAATGGGTGGTAGAAAGGTTCTTCAAAGAGCTACTTTTACTTTCTTGTTTTGAGTGCATTTCACAGCTGGTACTTTTTCACTTTTACACTTTTACTTGAGTGAAGAAGCTGAATCAGTACTTCAACTTTTACTGGAGTATTTTTTAACAATAGTATCTGTAATTCTACTTCAGTACAGGATGTCTGTACTTTTGCCAACTCTCGTCATGAGACGGTAAGGACTACAGATTAATTTTCTTAAAAAAGAAAGAAAGAGGGAGCACAGGAAAATAGTGAAGAGCCAAGGGGCTGAAGGAACAACTGAGCAGATGTGGAAAGAATAAAGAAAGAGCAGGACACAGCACAGCAAGCAAAGCCACATGAATGGTCCTGTCCACTGTAAACGAGACAAACTGATCCCTGATCTGAATGCACTCTAGATCATTTTTTTCTTGTGCCATGACTGAAAATTATGTATGTTTTTTTTCCTGTCAAATATCTGGATTGTTTCAAACAGGTGTTAGTTCACATGGGATAAGTGAAGACTTTTTAAAAAAAATTCCCATATGGTTGTCAGAAAGGTGTTTATGGCTTTTAAGCAGCTTTGATGCTTTGAGCTGGTTCTAGGCCCAGCCATGAGTTGCCCATACCACTTGGTCTGATCCATTTTGAAACACGTAGCAACCTATAATAATGGATTGGATTTATATAGCGCTTTTCAAGGCACCCAAAGCGCTTTACAATGCCACTATTCATTCACTCTCGCATTCACACACTGGTGAAGGCAAGCTACAGTTGTAGCCACAGCTGCCCTGGGGCAGGCTGACAAAAGCGGGGCTGCCATATCGCGCCATCGGCCCCTCTGGCCATCACCAGTAGGTGAAGTGTCTTGCCCAAGGACACAACGACCGAGACTGTCTGAGCCGGGGCTCGAACCAGCAACCTTCCGGTTACAAGACGAACTGCCAACTCTTTGAGCCACGATCGCCAATTATGTGAATATTTTGTTATTCACATAATTATCATATGGAGCAGTTGGAGAAATGCTGGGTTTCCCAGCAAAGGGAATAAGGAGGCCCTGGACGGAACGCCCACAGCCAACTGAGGCAGAGGCCGGCCATCCAGGACGTGTTCAGGGCCTGCTGATGCCACAGCATACAAGGCCAAAAATTTAAAGAGACTACTTTTTGTTTTTATGTTTTCGAAATTTTTTCTGAATCATTTGTGATATTTATCTTGAAAGGTGCTATATAAATACAATTTTACTGACTTACTTAATGTATTCATTTTGTCTCATGATGGCTTTTCATTAGAGCTATTTCCTTACTTCTAATTAGTTTGGAATACTTTTTACAATTGATCTACAAATGCAATAAAAACATGTTGGGTGTTACATCACGAGACAGCAGTAAATTTTGTGTGCTGGCGCCATTTTATCAGAGTCAGGGGACCCAATCTCATACTCAGGCAGAAGGAGCTCAGTGAGACTTATCTGAAGATCTGAAATCTAACACACACTAAGCTGTGTGTCAGCTCATGCAGAAACAAATTGTAATTGTGCAGACAATCTCACGAATTTCTCACTGTTCCTACTGTCACAGATATGACATAGTGATGTTTCGTTGGTATCATCTACAACAGATAAAAGAAGAAAAAAGTGACAAATTTGCAAAAAGCCTGTCTGGAACTTGGTAGAAAGGCTGAACAGACAAGAAATGAAAAAAAAAATTCAAATGCAGGTATATGGATTTGTTTAGAGTCAAAATATTAATTTGTTATCCTACAAAACAATAATGTCATATACATTAGGTGAGACTGAACAAAATTCTGGTATCAGAAATAATGGATATGCGTACAATAAATACTCGTTGTTAAATGTGATTTAGATAACTTCATAGCTTCATCTGAAGAACAGGAACAATCAAAAAATAAACAAGGACACAGTGTACACAAGGAAGCAGGGGACTGAACAAGATAGTAACAATTATATATGAGAGAACAAGGAGAAATATGTGATTCATTTGATACTTTTATAAATCGTAGGTACCAACAAGATATAGCAATATAAGAAAGTCAATTGTGGGAAAAATCTTCTTAATGTTCTTCATGAGCATGTCGTTGTTGTCTTGCTATATGAAGAAGATATTAAATACTGTGTAGATGTTTTACTAAGATGCAAACACAAGATTCATATTATCATTTCAGCAACAAGGAACGTAAAAAACAAAATGTTTCTGATATGACACCTTATCAGAGAGAATATAAGACTACAAGCACAACGATCCAGCATCATTCAACTGGCCACTCAGTCAGTGGTTGTGCACATTCTTTTGAGCAAGAGGTGAACATGGACAAAGGCTGTTCTACAGTTTGTGTATTGATTGTAGCACTTTGTGCATTGGTGCACTTTGGCACTGTTTTTTCCACAGTGAAAACTGGTGGCATTTTCACAGGTGAGTTTGGGTTTTTCTTTTTTACTTAGACGTGTTCAGCTCATAACTGTCTTCTTAACAATTCTTTCTGAAATGTGCATGTTTGTTAGTTACTTATATGGTCTGTTTGGGGACCACACAGCATCATAACTTTTGGCCCAATTACCACACCTCATTCATATCCTTTTCTGCTTCACTGCTTCTTCTAAAACCAGAATGCCCACGCCATCTTAAGCTTGATCAGTCATGTAAGGGGTGTGAGCACTGTCCTAGAGACAGACTTCTTGAGAGAGGGTGTGGAGTAAATTTTTGGTCAAACATTCTCAGTTTATAAAATGAGAGATAAAAAAGTTTCTTCAAGTTAAATCCACATTTACCACCCTCATTCCGTGAAACAGAATTCAAGAAAAACAGAAGAGGAAGAGGAGAGAGGAATTTGCTGCACTTCAGGAATAGCTGCTGCACAACAAAATACTGTGATAGTGACTGGCAGGGTCAATGCATGCAGACAATATAACAGCATGCAATCTTTGACCACAAAAATGAAACACAGCACTAAAGTAAAGTGAAAGGAAAGTGAGATCAAACACAAACACTGCCTGCTTACGGATCCTTTCTGAAATGTGCATGTTTGATTTTGTCAAACAGCCAATTTGGCATCACAACTCTTATTCCTCACAGCTCATCCATGTCCTTTTTTGCTTTTCTGCTTCTTTCAAACCCAGAATGTCCACGCCATCTTAATCTTGCTCTGTCACGTAAGGGGTATGAGGACTGTCCTAGAGACCACATATGCTGTGTCTACGATGGTGAAGAAGTCTGTGTCCCTCCTGTTTCCAGTATGTGTCACAATGTTTAATTTCTTCTTAAGAGGGTGTGGTAAATTTTTCATTGAGTCTTCTCAGTCAGTAGAATGAGAGAGAGTCTAAAAATCAAATAAATTCCAGTAAAATCCACATTTACTGCACTTTCTGATTAGAGTTCTTTGTCTGCACTAATTTCTCTTTCCTTCCAGCAAAGCCAGGAGTGTGTCCTCGTCGGCGCTTAGACTTTGGACATTGTGCTGAAATTTGCTCTAATGACAGAGACTGTCCTAATAATGAGAAGTGCTGCTCCAACGGATGTGGACATGAGTGCATGGCTCCATTGTCAGGTGAGATTGAACAAAGTGACATTTTAACAACCAAGTTTCTTTTGACTCAGATTTGTTCAGCTTATAATCTACTGCTCACGGTTTCTTTCTAAAATGTGCATGTTTGTTTTGTTTTGTTAAACAGCCAAACTGGCAATCAGACAGCTTTATAAGACTGACTTCATTTACCACAGCTCATCCATGTCCTTTTCTACTTTACTGCTTCCTCCAAAACCAGAATGCCCAAGCCATCTTAATCTTGCTCTGTCACGTAAGGGGTGTAATGGCTGTCCTAGAGGCCACATATGCTGTATCTGTGATGGTGAAGAAGTCTGCGTCCCTCCTGTTTCCAGTATGTGTCACAATGTTTAATTTCTTCTTAAGAGGGTGTGGTAAATTTTTCATTGAGTCTTCTCAGTCAGTAGAATGAGAGAGAGTCTAAAAATTAAATAAATTCCAGTAAAATCCACATTTACTGTACTTTCTGATTAGAGTTCTTTGTCTGCACTAATTTCTCTTTCCTTCCAGCAAAGCCAGGAGTGTGTCCTCGCCGGCGCTTGCACAACAGGCGTTGTACTAAATCTTGCTCTAAAGACAGAGACTGCCCCAATAATGAGAAGTGCTGCTCCAACGGATGTGGACATGAGTGCATGGCTCCATTGTCAGGTGAGATTGAACAAAGTGACATTTTAACAACCAAGTTTCTTTTGACTCAGATTTGTTCAGCTTATGATCTACTGCTCACGGTTTCTTTCTAAAATGTGCATGTTTGTTTTGTTTTGTTAAACAGCCAAACTGGCAATCAGACAGCTTTATAAGACTGACTTCATTTACCACAGCTCATCCATGTCCTTTTCTACTTTACTGCTTCCTCCAAAACCAGAATGCCCAAGCCATCTTAATCTTGCTCTGTCACGTAAGGGGTGTAATGGCTGTCCTAGAGGCCACATATGCTGTATCTGTGATGGTGAAGAAGTCTGCGTCCCTCCTGCTCCCAGTACGTGTCACAATGTTTAATTTCTTCTTGGTGTGTGTGGCAAATCTTTGGTTAAACCTTCTCAGTTAATAAAATGACAGATAATAAAATTTCTTCAAGTTAAATCCACATTTACCACCCTCTCTGGTTAGAGTTCTTTGTCTGCACTAATTTCTCTTTCCTTCCAGCAAAGCCAGGAGTGTGTCCTCGCCGGCGCTTAGACTTTGGACATGGACTGCTCATTATAACATTTTTCAGTTGTCTGGTTTCATTACTAATATTAAACACAAGCTATGTACCATACACGCCACTATTGGAGCATGGTTGAAAATGAAAGTGTGTCTTAAATGACATGTTATTAGAGAGACTGCAAATCTGTGAGCACAAAGACCCGGCATCCACTAACTGGCCTTCTCAGCCTGTGGTTGTGCACTAGTACACAGACAGTATTTTTGCACACAGGAGCACATTCCTTTGAGCAAAAGATGAACGTGGACAAACACTGATCGACTTTGTCAGTTTTTTGTTTGTTCTGCTAGAACTTACTGCAAATTAACAGGCAAATTTTCTTTGGGGGGGGGGCTCAGATGTGCTCAATTTATAATCTGCCTGCTTACGGATCCTTTCTGAAATGTGCATGTTTGATTTTGTCAAACAGCCAATTTGGCGACTGCAAAGCATCACAACTCTTATTCCTCACAGCTCATCCATGTCCTTTTTTGCTTTTCTGCTTCTTTCAACCCCAGAATGTCCACGCCATCTTAATCTTGCTCTGTCACGTCAGGGGTATGAGGACTGTCCTAGAGACCACATATGCTGTGTCTATGATGGTGAAGAAGTCTGTGTCCCTCCTGTTTCCAGTACGTGTCACAATGTTTAATTTCTTCTTAATAGGGTGTGGTAAATTTTTCATTGAGTCTTCTCAGTCAGTAGAATGAGAGAGAGTCTAAAAATTAAATAAATTCCAGTAAAATCCACATTTACTGCACTTTCTGATTAGAGTTCTTTGTCTGCACTAATTTCTCTTTCCTTCCAGCAAAGCCAGGAGTGTGTCCTCGTCGGCGCTTAGACTTTGGACATTGTGCTGAAATTTGCTCTAATGACAGAGACTGCCCCAATAATGAGAAGTGCTGCTCCAACGGATGTGGACATGAGTGCATGGCTCCTGTCATAGGTGAGATATAAACAACATGACAGTTATCCACAGGATATCAACTGCTGCAACACATATCACGTTGCAAGTTGCAAAAAGGCTGTCACTGACCATTAATTTGTGCAGACATAATTAAATATAGGAAAATATATATACTAAGATTAATAATTTAATATATGTATACTTGGGACTGCACGAAATTTGAGAAGGTGAAAACTTGTGTTAATCTCCTTTTTTTGCTTGGGGGTAAGTTGGGTACTGAACAACAAAAACCATTAAGACTCTTGTAATGATGCAGTATCAGACTGCACAAGTCTTGTCTGATATATGGGAATTAGAGTGTAAATGTGGGGTGGTAATATGAATTTAAACTAGACTTCTCCAGGAAACTCATTCCTTAGCAGGAAGAAAGAGGTCCAATAGCATCATTCCGTGAAACAGAATTCAAGAAAAACAGAAGAGGAAGAGGAGAGAGGAATTTGCTGCACTTCAGGAATAGCTGCTGCACAACAAAATACTGTGATAGTGACTGGCAGGGTCAATGCATGCAGACAATATAACAGCATGCAATCTTTGACCACAAAAATGAAACACAGCACTAAAGTAAAGTGAAAGGAAAGTGAGATCAAACACAAACACTGCTGCTCATTATAACATTTTTCAGTTGTCTGGTTTCATTACTAATATTAAACACAAGCTATGTACCATACACGCCACTATTGGAGCATGGTTGAAAATGAAAGTGTGTCTTAATTGACATGTTATCAGAGAGACTGCAAATCTGTGAGCACAAAGACCCGGCATCCACTAACTGGTCTTCTCAGCCTGTGGTTGTGCACTAGTACACAGACAGTATTTTTGCACACAGGAGCACATTCCTTTGAGCAAAAGATGAACGTGGACAAACACTGATCGACTTTGTCAGTTTTTTGTTTGTTCTGCTAGAACTTACTGCAAATTAACAGTCAAGTTTTTTTTTTTTGGGGGGGGGGGGGGGGGGGGGGGGCTCAGATGTGCTCAATTTATAATCTGTCTGCTTACGGATCCTTTCTGAAATGTGCATGTTTGATTTTGTCAAACAGCCAATTTGGCGACTGCAAAGCATCATAACTCTTATTCCTCACAGCTCATCCATGTCCTTTTTTGCTTTTCTGCTTCTTTCAACCCCAGAATGTCCACGCCATCTTAATCTTGCTCTGTCACATAAGGGGTATGAGGACTGTCCTAGAGACCACATATGCTGTGTCTATGATGGTGAAGAAGTCTGTGTCCCTCCTGTTTCCAGTACGTGTCACAATGTTTAATTTCTTCTTAATAGGGTGTGGTAAATTTTTCATTGAGTCTTCTCAGTCAGTAGAATGAGAGAGAGTCTAAAAATTAAATAAATTCCAGTAAAATCCACATTTACTGCACTTTCTGATTAGAGTTCTTTGTCTGCACTAATTTCTCTTTCCTTCCAGCAAAGCCAGGAGTGTGTCCTCCTCGGCGCTTAGACTTTGGACATTGTGCTGAAATTTGCTCTAATGACAGAGACTGTCCTAATAATGAGAAGTGCTGCTCCAACGGATGTGGACATGAGTGCATGGCTCCATTGTCAGGTGAGATTGAACAAAGTGACAGTTATCCACAGGATATCAACTGCTGCAACACATATCATGTTGCAAGTTGCAAAGAGGCTGTCACTGACCATTAATTTGTGCAGACATAATTAAATATAGGAAAATATATATACTAAGATTAATAATTTAATATATGTATACTTGGGACTGCACGAAATTTGAGAAGGTGAAAACTTGTGTTAATCTCCTTTTTTTTGATTGGGGGTAAGTTGGGTACTGAAGAACAAAAACCAACCGCACAGGAGCACATTCCTTTGAGCAAAAGATGAACGTGGACAAACACTGATCGACTTTGTCAGTTTTTTGTTTGTTCTGCTAGAACTTACTGCAAATTAACAGGCAAGTTTTTTGTTTTGGTTTTTTTTTGGGGGGGGGGGGGCTCAGATGTGCTCAATTTATAATCTGCCTGCTTACGGATCCTTTCTGAAATGTGCATGTTTGATTTTGTCAAACAGCCAATTTGGCGACTGCAAAGCATCATAACTCTTATTCCTCACAGCTCATCCATGTCCTTTTTTGCTTTTCTGCTTCTTTCAACCCCAGAATGTTCACGCCATCTTAATCTTGCTCTGTCACGTAAGGGGTATGAGGACTGTCCTAGAGGCCACATATGCTGTGTCTATGATGGTGAAGAAGTCTGCGTCCCTCCTGCTCCCAGTACGTGTCACTATGTTTAATGTCTTCTGAAAAGGGTGTGGATTAAATATTTGGTTAAATCTTCTCAGTTAATAAAATGACAAGTAGTTTAAAAATAAAGTTTGCACATACAAATTGTGCTAGATCTTGCTTTGATGACAGAGACTGTCCCTTTATTCTGAAGTGTTGCTACAATGGATGCGGACATGAGTGCATGGTACCAGACATAGGTGAGATACGAACAAAGTGGCAGTTATCTAAAGCAGCGGCCCCCAACCTTTTTTGCCCCACGGACCGGTTTATGTCTGACAGTATTTTCACGGACCAGCCTTTAAGGTGCCGCGGATAAATACAACAAAATAAAACCAGTACCAGTACCCAAAAAAGAAAATTTATTCATAACACACTGGAAAAGAGCCAGGGAAACCGATTTAATGATAAAAACGATAAAAAATAACGAAACCCTAAAAAAACTATAAATTTCACAATCGAGCTTCAACTCTCGCAGCCCGGAACCAAACGACTCACGGGCCTGTACCAGTCTGTGGCCCAGGGGTTGGGGACCGCTGATCTACAGGTTATCTGTTATCATGTCATCTACAATAGGTAGAAGTCAGAAAAGGCTGTCTCTAACAATTGTGCACAAAAAAGAGAAAATGTTTAATTTCATACACATTTCCTTGAGATTGTATGAAACATGAAAGAGTGAGAACTTTAAAAAAAAAGCTTGTTAGTCTTCTTTATGACCATGTGTTTCTTTGTGTACTGCAGACCAGAGACTTACTGCTGTCATTTTGTGTGAGACTGTATAAGTTTTGCCTGATATTTGGGAACTGGAGTGTACACGTTGGGTGGAATCTAACTTGAAATGAGAGATTAATCAACTGGATCTCCATGAGACTCATACCTTAGTCGAGAAGAAGGAAGTGCAGTAAGCATCCTTCAGAGAAACAGGGTGGCCACAGCCTAAAACACAATCAAATGTTTCACAATTTCCAGAAACTCTTAGAAGAGATTTTTATTAATTTACTGCAATTCAGGGTTCAATAAGGTCAAAGGATATCTTTCAGAGGGACAACCCACCACACTCTCTGGAGTTCTTGGTCTATACTCATTTCTCTTTCATTTCAGTAAAGCCAGGAGTGTGTCCTCACAGACACTTGGGCCACGGACGTTGCCTTGAATCTTGCTTTAATGACAGAGATTGTCCCTTTTTTGAGAAGTGTTGCTCCAATGGATGCGGACATGAGTGCATGGCTCCCTACAAAGGTAATAGATGCACAAAGCAGCCAAGACCCTTTAAATAATTCACCAAGTGGTTAACGGTATTTTGTAACTAATCATATTTTTGGGTTTGGTGTATCTGTGAAGGCTGGCTGCTGCCCTCTGCCTGAAACCACCTCCATGTGTGCTGGTCAGTGTCCAGGAGAGCAGAAGTGCTGCAGGACATCCTGCGGTCATGCGTGCAATGAGCCCCGCTGATTAGAAAGTACCAAGTCAATCTACATTAAACATCTTTACAAATTTACTGTGGCCTTCTCTTTAATGCAATACTTTTTTTCTTTCTGTAATATTATTAAGACTTTCTTTTTCTGATGATGACAAATGTTTTTGTAAAGGCAGACTGCGTGGCTAGGCACTTGATTATATGCGTCTGTGACAACGGGACTGAAAAAAACACCTCAATTCAGAGAACAGGGAGTGTGGCTCCAGACCTGCTGCTTTTACTTAAATCTACTTCAAAACAAGTGATTTCCTGTCCCATTAAAGATAATATTCATTACTTTTAGGTATCTTTCTTTGTATTTGTTTGTTTGTGAGAGTATTTGGATATCGTGTTTTGGACAAAGTTTGCATTTAAAAACAAAAAAGAAACCATGTTGAATTCACTCTGACATAATTTATCTCTGTATCTGATTGTTCCTAGTAGGGAGATTGAAAAGAAGCAATAATCACTCCATGTGAGCTCAGAGGCTTCAGAGGGCAGTGAGATATCAAATCAGAATAACCTGATTTGTATTTTATTACAGTTTCCTCACAGTAACATCATGCACTATGATTTAATGGAGTTACAGTTTCAAACTTCCAGAAAACAAATCTATGTTCAAACTAGAGCTGCAAAAATAAAAATAAAATAAAAACACCAACACTGCTATCAACAAAAATGGTATTTTAAGCACAGCTATCGAGTTTTTATAGTCAGTGCATGCCTGGTTTAGACACTGCCCATTGGTTTACATAAACAGATATAATATGATGATATTCCATTTATAGTCGCATATAACGTTTGAGCATAAGCTAAGAAACAAGTCAAGATAGGAACACGAAAATATGTATCTGACAACCTCCTTTCTTACAGAAAACATGACTCATGTTCGTCACTTTGTGGTGAAAGGAAGCAGCGGCATCAACCCTTACTATACCGTTCTCGTGTGATTCCTCTGGGAAGTAAAGTATCTTAAATTAGGCTGTGAGTGATATGGATTTTGGCCCGTCAAGCTGTGGGCCCTCCTCCACAGCAGCCTCAAGCTAACAAGCTAATTAATAGGAGGCAACAAGATAGAAAGCTTAAGTGGGAGACTGACTATGGTGCACCTTTACACCACAGATAAAATACATTATTAACACATTCAATGCAAATGTAACATTTTTTCTTCTGTAATTGGCAGCAGTTAACAGCATCCAACATTATTAAGGGTAATTTTGTGCTGAGGATGTTTAACAATGTCATAGATTTGTATAAATGATACCTGCTGCTAAAGCAAAACACACGGCTATTTCCATTATTGCTCCCCATTCTGTGCAGGGGAGGAATTTAAGTGCTAAAAGCGGAAACTCAGAAGTAAATAGCATGAACATTTCACAGTTTGTGAGCACACAAAAACTGCAGAAAAATGAGTTTGTCAGAGTGGCCATATGTAGAATTTCACACACTGAATTTGGAAAGCTCTGTTGAAACAACCAGTTAAAATCAATCGTTGACATCTTTCAGTCCTATTTCCAAATAAAAAATATTTCAGTTTTAATCAAATGTAATGATTTGTTTTTATCAAGCCAAATCTTTATTTATTTATTCTTTACTTTGTTTATCATTTCATTTTATCAGTGCATCCCTAGTTTTAGCACAGCCTACTAATTTACATAAATATGATACTATGTGACAATATTCAGTCAATGACAGCATGTAATGTTGGAACAAAAACTAATAAACAAGTTAGATTGGAAGACTAAGACATGTTCTCCACCTTGTGGAGAAAAGAAGAAGTAGCTGCTTGAGACTTACCAACACTTCTTGTAGAATTTCTGTGGGAAGTAAAATATTCTGCAATGGACTGTGTGGTCTGCACAGTGGTGTACACGCCAAGCACACACCCAACTAAACTGAACAGAGAGGCCATCCTCCACATCACCCTTAAGCTAACACGCTAAACAATAGTTATTTTGTAGAGTCATAAAGTCATCTCATCCAGTAAATGCTGTAAATCATCACCAGAGCATAAATTATTAGTCTTAAACAGAATCATTATTAATATTGTGGACACCTTATGTATGTAATTGATGTGTGATTTAAACAATCTAGGGCCCAACACTGACCCCTGGGGGACACCAGAAGCATAACTTCCTTCTCTAATATATGAGCAAGAATTCATTTAACTTCACAAACTGGTGCCAGTCTCTTTAAAAAAAAAACAACTCTGAAATTACTTTAAAACTCCTCATCTGATCTATTGTATCAAATTTGTTTCTGAAGTGTGTAAATAATCCAACCGCATATTGTTTTTGTTTTTTTGTCTATGGAGTCTAATAATGCTAGATGGAAATGCGGGCTGGTTCACTGGTTAAAAAGAAAATAAACCGCTTCGCACATGTCAGATACTGTTGGAGGAGAAATTGATTCATTTGCTGGAAGCACTAAAATAAAGTGAAGGTAAAATTAGGTCACATGACAAAAACTATTGTTCATCATAACATTTTTCAGCTGTCTAGTTTTATTACTAACATGTAAACAACATTAGAAGATTCATACCACAGTACATGCCATATTTTATCTGTAACTCTACAGGCACAAGGACCCAGCATCCTCTAAGTGGCCTGCTCAGCATGTGGCTATGGACTAGTGTACAGTATTTTTTGCACACAGCAGTACATGTTTTGAGCAAGAAGTGAACATGGACAAACACTGGTGGACAATTTGCGCATTGGTTTTAGCATTTTGCGCATTAGCGCACTTTGACACTGTTCTTTCAGCGAGCGCTTGTTGCAAAATAACAGGCAAGTTTCTTTTGACTCAAATTTCTTCAACGCATTATCTGACTGCTTACGGATTCTTTTTGAAATGCGCGTGATTGTTTGTTTAGCAACCAAATTGGTAACCACTCAAAATCATAACTCATGTCTCCTTTGGCACGGCTGATCCGTAATGCTTTTCTGCTCTTTTCTTTCAAGTCTCAGCTGTCTAAAAGTCAGTCAAAAGGCCCGTGTACCACACTCTCCCGTTCTATCTCTTTGTCTATACTGATTTCTCTTTTCTTTCAGTAAAGCCAGGAGTGTGTCCTCGCAGGCGCCTGGGCTACGGACGGTGTGCTGAATTTTGCTCTAATGACAGTGACTGCCCCGACAAGGAAAAGTGCTGCTCCAACGGGTGTGGACATGAGTGCATGGCACCGTACGTAGGTGAGAGATCAACAAAGTAGAAAACACCCCCATGTACATCCCAAGTGTTTAAAGGTATTTTATAACTAATCATATTTTTTTGACTTCGCTGTGATCAGTGAAGCCTGGCGGCTGCCCCCTGCCTGAGACCACCCCCATGTGTGCTGAGTACTGCTATCACGATGGTCAGTGTCCAGGAGATCAAAAGTGCTGCAGGACTACCTGTGGTCATGCATGCAGTGAGCCCTGCTAAGGAAGTCCATCATCTACATTAAACATCTCTCCTTTTTAAACGGACACATTTTTCCCACAAAGAAAAAGTGGCCTGTTTGCATTTATTCCTTGTTCTCTTTTTTTTTACCGCCTGTATTCTTACTTCAGTGTGAAAAACAGTATATCTGTTCCATTTCTAATTAAAGCCTTAGAGTATGATGCATTGTTTTTGTTGTTTTTGTATGACCAATAAAAATAGCCCAATCCTGTATAACCTTGCTATAAATGTGTTTTTAATAGATCCTGGAATTCACAAGCCTGTCGGGTTTTTTGAGTCCGTTTCCCTGCAAAAACAAATGATGAAATGTAGCAAGAATGGAAAGTGTTTCCTGGCAGAACACAAAATGATTCAGATGGACAATGAAAACGTTCTTAGTTTTCAGCATTGTTGCACACTTGTGTCTCAAAATGTATTTTGCTGTTTGTTATTTAAAGAACATTTTAGTTTTTTTTTTTATAAATTACTAGTTTGACCAAAGAAAGTTGCAACAATCAGTGACAAGTTCCTTTACTATATCATGTCCGAGGAGAAAACTTGCAGTTTGTAGCAGATCACATATGAACATCAAATTCTACATGTGGAAAGCTGCTTTTCGCTTTGTTTTTGTTCCACACTGTTGGCAAACACACAGGGGTAAGAACTGCTGACCTGGCAAATACAGAGAGACCTCTGTGTTTGTTCCTTCAGAGTCTGTCATCAGTGAGGCCAACTATGTTTACACAAAAATGTGGGCACTCAATAGGAAGTAATAATGTTCCAACTCCTGTTTAATTTAGAGTTGGGAACTTTCATGTCTAGTAATTTGAAAAATGATGTTTGGCAGTTTATTGAAAAGGCAGTGACAGTAATAACAATACAGAACATAGTCAAATATTCAAATGGAGCTCACTGTTTTACAGAAATATTTTTCTAGGAAGGAAAACAAACAAAAATGTGTGTAAAAGGCTTAAACAAAAGTAAATGCATGGCAGTATTTTATTTAGTATTTAACATCTACAGGAGCTGCTCAGCCATAGAACCCAGGACCACAAAGCTCCAGGCACAGTTTTAGTGCTGATGTTAATCCCAGCGGTGTTTGGAGTTCTGCAGTTGAGTCAGCAGTTTTGGTGACTTTTAGACTGTATCACCTCAGCCCTTGGTGAAACCCCTCTGAAGATCTACATGTCCAACAAGTTGTGGCCAAGTTGTTGTGGCTCCTAGATGCCTCCACTTTGCTATATCACCACTTCACCTGATCATTAAATATCTTAAGAGGGAAAAAATTTCATGAACTGACTTGTTGCGGTGGTGGCATCCTATTACACTACCATACTCAAATTTAGTGAGCTCTTTAGAACAACCTTTAACAAATAAAAGCAGACTGCTTGGCTGTTACCTGCAGCAACAGGAGTGAAAGCACCTGAATTTAGAGAAGAGGAAGTGTGGCTCTGTAGTTTTGTCCATAGTGTATTTGTTGTAAGACAACGAAAGTGCTTAAAACTGATGACTTAATAATTCAACAAATAAAAGGTTTTTATTATGCTCAGACAATTGCATTCAACATTCAAAACTGTAACCAAAATCAGTGCCAAATAAATATTTGGTAAAGGGCAGCTCGGTTTTACTTGACAATGATTGATATCCTGTGTAGAAACATGAAAAAAGTTCATTTTATCACTTTTAAGTCTATACTTTTTAGAATTCGTTTCACACAATATACGACATCATACTGGAATGAGTTTTAGAGTTTTTAATGCGCTGTCATGAATGAAGTTTCAATTAAGATAAGCAGCCTAAAAAGAAAAACGTTAGGACATCCTGAAGTGACTTTGACTTGGTGTATCTCATAGTGGCGGAGATGCCAAATAAGTCTTAAGACCACTTAGAGACCAAAAGCGATTATATTTCTGAGTCCAGAGGCTTCAGAGTGCAGTGAGATATGAAATCACTGTTTCCTCAAAGTATCAGTATGCCTTAATGACAGTGTGGCATTATGTTGTAATGGGTTATAGTTTTAAAAATCCAGAAAACAAACAAACAAACAAACAAAAAAAAACCCTACCCCAAATCCCCCAAAACGAAGGGGTATTAAAACACTGCAGCCCATTGCTCAGCTTTGGTTCCTCATATTTATCAAACAAGAACAAATCTTCAACTTCCCGTCTACTTTTTTTGTCCTTAGGCAGCAAGAAATTGCTTTAAAACACAAATGTATCCATCTTATTCAATTCAACAACAAAATCCTCAAGTTGACAGGTTTTAAAACATTCATAGCAGTATTTGTCCCAGTTCTTCCCTGTATATTATATATTTTCCAGTAGTTCAACAAAAGGAAAACTTCCTTTCTAAAAGATGCCACTTGGCATGCTCACAAAGCCTCAGAGTGGCGGGACGCCCCTCATCCTTCGGATGACGTTAGCGATCCGCTTGGCCAGTCCTGGGTTGGGCTCTTCGATCTGGAAGCTCCGCGTTAGTAAGTTGTATAGAGAGCCGTAGCCCACAGCCACTACAGTGCATGTGAGGCAGATGACATTGTAAGGCATGCTGAAGTCTGGAGTGGGCAGATTGACAAGCAGAGGCTCTGTGTAGATGCGGACAAAGTAGCTGGACTCTTCTTTACAGGGAAAACTGGTGAGAGAGGAAAATTTGATCATCCCATTTTCTAGATAAACGTGTCTGTGCAGAAACTCAAACAGTCCGTGAATAAAACACAATAAATGTCATTTTCATCAAGGTGGGTGGGAGATGGGGCTGTGTACTTACAAGCTGCTGAAAAGTGGTCGTTCCCGAGTGCTGTTTGTATGCATGGCGACAGTGCTTGGTACAAGAGAACTAATAACTGAAGATCTAAATGTTAAAGACAAGGACAAGGACTTTAGACAATAAAAGTCTGAAATTAATTTAAAATCCTAAAAAATAAAAAGCAAAAATCATTTGAGAAGCAACACATGTCACACATGCAATCCTACGTGCATACCCGACATAGAAACCGTGGTTGGGATCGGGTGGGTATTCAGTCCATTTGAGCAGAGCCCTCTCAAACTGCACTGTAACCTCAGTCACAGAGTTTGGAGGAAGCTGGATCAGCATCTCCAGCAGGTGGGGCTTCACACGGTCCTTAGATGGCTCGTAGTGGATGTAGCCTAGCAGAGGAAGAAAAAAAAACAAGTGACCAATAATACACTGATTAAATGTTCAAACTAGAACTGCACAAACACAAAGGCTCTGGCATCTGCTGTCAAGAAAATTGTATTTTAAACAGCTATCAACCCAGAGTTTTTACAGTCAGTGAATCCCTAGTTTAGACACAGATCACTGGTGTATATAAATTACATAATGGGACAATATTTAATCAATAACAGCATGTTATTCAAGTTAGAAATGAACACCAACATATGTATTTGATAACTGTTTCTTACAGAAAACATGACTCATGTTCTCCACCTTGTGGCAAAAAGAGGCAGCTGCATGAACCCTTACTAACCATTCCTGTGGGTTAATGTGGGAAGTCAAGTATCTTACAGTGGGCTGTGAACAGCATGACCGACTTACCCCTGTAAGGTCAAATGTATCATATTTGAAACATGAGTTTTTGAGACCTTTACATCATTAGTGTGATTTCTTTAACCTTAAACCCTTTACACATTTTTGCTGAAAATGAATAGTCATCAATAAATTGCACAGAAATGCTGGTGTAGCAAAAATCATACAAGTCAAAACTCATAATTCATGACAGGTTCAATAAAAACTCCAGCTCCAGAAAATTAGATTTTTCTGGCAATTATTTCATGGTTCAGATTTTACAGGGTTAAGTAAAAGACTGAATAATAATATCCATCGTTGAAGAAGTCAACATCAAAAATCAAAGCCTGCAAAGATGCTCACATGTCCACAGGACATTTAAGCTAACTAACAGAAGGCAACAAAAATGAAAATGAAATCAAGTTGAAGGCACACAAGTTCAGCTCAAGTGGGAGTCTGACTATCGTGCACCTCTACAAAGTGTAAAGAGAAGGCTGTGTATTCATTTGCCACTGGCAATTTGTGCTTTTAAAGAACATAATTAGCATCATCATGTTGATGTTTGAATCAAGGTATGGGGGTCAGAGGCAGGGGACAGCACCTTCAGAAAGCCACTAAACTGAAAAGATGCACTCATGGACTGTTTCTTTGAGCTGTAAGTGCAACTTTCATTTTTATGTGCAGGTGTTTCATGGCAATAGACAAAGCTGCAAGAATCAACTAAACAACATGATGTAAGATCTACTTTTCTTCTTTTATTTAATTAAACCTCCTAAGAAATGATCCAGTGGTCATATTCAGATCCATGAAACAGTCCCAGTAAGACTTGCAGACATAGAAACAAAAAAATAAAGATGTATTGCTTTACCTTTATATCAGATCTATTCTACCAAAGCAGGCTTGTTAAATAGGTTGCGGGGAGGTGGCTGAGTGATAGTCTTCTAGTTGAATTTGTGATATGCTAATGCTAAACAGCGCAAAGGCTAATAAGATTTTTTTGTAGACTGGTTGAGGTCCTCTCCGTGAATCGCGACCTTATCGTGGTGGAGGGGTTTGTGTGTCCCAGGGATCCCAAGGTCGATGTTGTCTGGGGGCTTTTGCCCCCTGGTAGGGTCTCCTGTGGCAAATTGGTCCTGGGTGAGGGACCAGACAAAGAGCGATTCAGAAGACCCTTATGAAGAAAACATTGAGGGAACAGTTTACCCTGCCCGGGATAGGGTTACCGGGGCCCCGCCCTGGAGCCAGGCCCGGGGAGGGTGCCCGACGGGCGAGTGTCTGGTGGCCGGGCCTTAGTCCATGGGGCCCAGCCGGGCACAGCCCGAAAAGGGGACATGGGCCCATCCTCCCGCAGGCCCACCACCCGCAGGAGGGGTCGGGTCCATTGTGTGCCGGGCAGCGGCCAGGAGCGGAGGCCCTGGCGGACTGATCCCTGGCTGCCAAGACTGGCAATTGGGACATGGAATGTCACCTCTCTGGTGGGGAAGGAGCCTGAGTTAGCGCGTGAGGTTGAGAGGTACCGGCTAGATATAGTCGGGCTCACCTCTACGCATGGCTTGGGCTCTGGAACCAGTCTCCTGGAGAGGGGCTGGACTCTCAGTCTGGAGTTGCCCCTGGTGAGAGGCGGCGGGCTGGGGTGGGTATTCTAATATCCCCTCGGCTTGCTGCCGGTACGTTGGGGTTTTCCCCGGTGGATGAGAGGGTTTGTTCCC